GCACACCCACTCCCTGCCCCAGCCCAGATCCTGCACCCAGCACCCAAACTCTATCCCAGAACCTGCACCCTGCACCCCTCCTGCACCCTAATCCCCAGCCCAGGACCTGCACCCCAGACCTCCTCCCTGGCCTGGGAGCCTATACAGCAATGAATCTGCCCCATAGCCAGAACCCTGTGAGCCTGAGTCGGCTGAAAAGCACTCAGGGGTCATGCAGGCAATCAGCTGAATGTGAGCTCTCAGTGCAGTGCTGCACAAGAGGGCAGGTGTGAGCCTTGAACATGTAAGCAGAGGCACGGGGCGGTGGGTGAAACTTCCCCTGGGGGAGGCAAACTCCTGTCCTCCCTCTTCCACCCACGGCTCCGCCCAGACTCCACCCCTGCTCCACCCCAGGCCCAGCCTGCTGCTGCCTCGCTGCTCACCTCTTCACCCCCCGCAAGTCCCCCCCTCTCTTTTCACCTCCTTACCTGTCTGTGGCTCGCCTCATCACCCACCGTTATGCCCCCCTGCCCGTCATGAGATACCCCCCGCTTGCCATGCCGCTGGCTCACCACTTGCCTCCTCACCCTGATGCTGGCCCCACCGCCGCGAGATCCTCCCCCCTTTTCACCTTAAAGCACTAATAAGATTTCCCTGTGGGAACTGAACAGCTATAGATCACTTGCTAGATGGATTCTCCGCTGTGTGGCAGAGTTCAGTGTATACTGTATAGAGAGAGACTTGGTTTTTCAGGCTACCTGCGCCAACATGAAGCCTAATCTCCCTTTTTTTTAAAGTGTTTGTCGTGGACATTCTGCATTAAGGCAATACTTTAATCATCTTTCTTACACAGAATTCCCTGCCAGACTCGCTTACTTAAACTGGGTTGGAATAAAACAACTAGATCAAGAAATAAACTCACTGGCTATGTCTTCTCCTTCTTGAGCGAGGTTAGTGAAAAATACTTCTGCTGGGTGCAGAGAATAAGTCACATAGCATGGTACCAAGTATCAGAGGGGTAGTCATGTTAGTGTATCCATAAAAACAACAAGGAGTCTGGTGGCACCATAAAGACTAATAGATTTATTTGCGTATAAGCTTTCTTGGTAAAAAAACCCCAATTTTTAGGATGCATCGAGAACTACTGACAGGTCGCATAGCATGAAATTACTGACGGGTCATTTGGAAACTGCTTTTAACCCAAATAACACATTGTCCTACAATATAAAAGCCAGCTGAATGTGGCCAAAGACTTTAACACTTTAATGGCCCTTTAACACTTTCAGTGATTTGCTACTAGGTCTCTGGAAGGCTATTTCACTTGTGTTAAGTTACTCAGAGCATAAAAACATAAGAATGGTTTCTAGGAGTTGCAGTAAGAGCTGCTGGGACCCCATAACTGAAAGCCGCTCCCACATGCCAACCCCATGCTCAACTCTCAGCCCCCTCCTGCATCCCAAACCTCTCATCCCCAGCCCCACCCCAGAGTCCACACCCCTATCCAGAGCCCTGACCCCACCCCAACCCCTTGCCCCAGCCTGGAGTTTTCAGAGAAGGGAGTGGCGGGGGTGTGTGCTTAGAAAGTTGGCAACCCTACCCCTGCCCCTCCCACTGGAGTGGATTTCCCAGCCCAGCTCACTTCCTCTGATATTCACCCTAAACCACCCATCCCCCCAACCTCCAGCTCCAGCCCAGCGCCCCTGAGCTGTGCTGGCCCCAGCCTCTCACCTCAGCCTCCATCCAGTTTTTCTCTTGGTAGAAGAATCGATAGCAGGTGTCGTGGAAGGAGAACCAGCCTGTAGGACATGCCACAGCTTGTGCCCCTGCAGAGAGAGGTGGTGCTGGGGACAAGGGTGGAGACAGAACACTGCGGTTAGAGGCTGTTTCAGAGACACAGCCACAGCTTTCCCACTAGCATGAATAACATCAGGACCCCATTTGGGGCTGGGACTGGCAGGCAGGAACTGTGGTGTAGCCCTCAAGACCTTGGCGCTGCAGGAAGAAGCTGGGTTTTCTCAGACCCCACATTGGCAGAACGGGGCCCCTGGAACCCAGCCCTGAGCAAAGATCCCAGCCGGACAGGGCCACTGGGTTCGAAATCGGATGTGGGATCCTTTCCCTAGGGCTCCCTGTGGGGAGGAAGGAGCCAGTGCACTCTGAGGTGGTTGATAGACCCTCCCTCCCTAGGGAGCCCCAGAGAAGGGGGGAAATATGGAGCTGCCAGCCACAGTGGCCCCCATTCTGGTGCAGCCCTTGGGCAGAGGGATTTCCTGCCACCCTGAGCTTCTCCCCCTCTCTCCTTGAGCCATGCGGAGCAGTGGGACAAGGGAATCTGGAAGGGAGGTGAAGGGTGTAAAGGGAACACCCACGGCCAGGGGGTGAAGCTGGGGTAGCAATGGGGTTGGCACAGACTGGGACTAGAGATGAAATAGGGAGCAGGGGCCCAGTTCTGGATGGAAGCAGCTGGGGGGTTGTAGGAGGAGGGAAGGTGAGGGAGTTGCCCAGGGAGATGGGACATAAAGAGAGGGAATAGCAGGGATCTGTGGGGCTGGGGCAGAGGGGAGGGGAACACTGTGCAGGCACTGCCCTTCTCAGGGCTGAGGGCACAGAGGGACAGGGTGGAGTCATATCCCACCAGGGGGAGGGAATGGGACAGTCTAGTGGAGAAAGGCACAGTGTGCAGGGAATGGGGCAGCCCAGCCAGGATCAGAGGCCGAATGCTGGGGCTGGAGCAAAGCCATGACCAGCCCTTGGAGAGAGACACCGTGGGGACATGCCCAGCCAGTGGGAGGGGAACACTGAAGGGTAGGATGGGGGCCTGAAGCTGACAGGGGCTGAGCGCCCATTGCTCAGGGACTGGCCCCACCCAACCCTCATGGGAAAAGCTGACCTATGGGGGGACATTTCATCCACCTTCTCTCGTCCACTCCCTCAGGAGGGGCCGCAGGGCCTGGGCTCTCCCCAGGGCAGTGACGCCCACCAGCAGGAGACGGGCAGTGGCTCTGGAAGCGAGGAGGAAATGAATTCACTTCTCAATTCCCAACATCCGAGAGGCTGGGCAGGGACTCACCTGCTAGCGAGTGGCTGCAGATCAGGCAGCCGAGGAGGCAGAGGCTGAAGTAGGCGACTAGCCCCATCTTCTCGCTTCCCCTGGGGAGAAAACACACAAGGGAGATGGGGCCATGAGATCATGAGACACCCCCTGGAACTGTTTGCTAAAGGGCCAGTCTGGGCTGGAAGGGCCCCGAGATGGATCCCCTCCCCCTTCCCTGGGGCACTGACCTCGGGGCCCATCTCCCTGGGTCCAAAGGGCCCTTCCTCTTCCACCCCTCACTGAGCCATGCCCCAGGGACAGAACTGGACACCCAGCATGGAGCCAGGTCCCAGCTCCTCAGTGGCTGGGCTCTGCAAGCAGAATCTCCAGGGACTTCCCAAACCAGGGCTGCAGGTAGGGAGAAGGGTGGGGGGGTCATCAGGGAGGCCATGGTCACTCAGATGGGACCTGGGTCCAGGCAACAGGGTCCCATTTGCAGAACAAAGCAGTTCTCAGAAGGGAAATTTGCCATCTCCCGCTGTCCTTCTCTCTCCCAGTGCTGGAGCTGGCAGGTTCCCTCGGTAGCCACCTACATGGAACATGGAGGGAGGGCACAGGTGGCAGGAGGGGAGAGTTTGGAAGAGGCACCAGTGCCACCAGGATGGAGGCCAGTCTGTGTGCACGTGGCTGGAATGCCAGCTGCAGGTGCAGCACCTCTGCAATCGTTCTCTGACTAGAGAGCTGGTTTAGTGTTAGAAACTTGGAGTCCTCTTGTGTTATCACCCAGCACCTGGTACATGAAACACCCACTGACCCAGCACCAGGGCTTTTCCCCCCCAACAGGTGTTTCAATCACACTCATATTTCCATGTCCAGGGAGATCGTGTATCTAGAAAGCCAACACTGTGTGGTTGGGGTGGGGGAGAGGGGTGGGGTTATAGTTACTGCACCCCATGGTGGGGGCTGGGACCCCCGTTGCACCATTAATAGGAGAAGGGAGCTAATGGGAGAGCCGCCCTGCAGAGTGATGATCCAGCAGGGACTGGACACAGGACTGGATGCTGGGCCCAGCTCCTGGAGGGGCAGAGCGCTGGGCACAGCTCCGCAGGGCTTTAGGGTGCCATGTACTGGGCTGTGCTGTGTGGGAGGAAGGGGTAAGACAGAGACGGCCCCAGGGTCAGGGGACACACACAGGACAAGCTTGGCCACCCACCCCCGTAACAGATCAGCTGCCACCAGCCACCCAGCACAGGAGGAGAAAGAAGCTGGAGGAAGCCCGGGTCTCACTTTATTGTCTCTCTGGGTAGCTGCTCTGGTGCTAGGCCAGTCCAAGTGCAGCCTGCATGGGACACTGGCCAGACATGGGGTATTTATAGACCAGTCCGGGGAGGGGACCAGGTTTCAATACTGAACATGCAAATCTGTCTTGATGGCAGCTACAATCATTTAATGCCCAGGCAAACAGAGATAAGAGGAGCCATGACCCAGCAACCAGCTGGGATCTGAGCAGGAGGAAGTATTTGTCAGGGCTGAGATAAAAGTTAAAATGAAAACTCTCCCCTGCTCCCCAGGTCTGTCAATGCTGAGATGAGTGTGGCTGTAGGGAGCCATCGTGCCCTGGCCTTGACTGGTCCAACTGCTAACGACCATCTTGTCCAATGGAAAGTTCCGGGCAGATCCCCAGGGAGTGTAAATCATCTGGAGTCCCCCTGAAGTCAGTGGGCGGGATCCCCAACGGGTACAGTCTGGTGTGGGGCTATTGGAGTCCTTGGGGTCAGACCCCCAGCGGGTGGGCGGTGCTCAGAGCTCTGCTGGAATCACCAGCACTAGAACCGCACCAGATGTAAACTGGCCAGAGCTCCACAGGAGTCAATGGAGTCACACCAGCTTGGGATCAGGCCCCCATCAGTGCAGGGTAAAATGGCAACTTTTCCAATTCCTGGCCCTCAAGCCCGGGGAGCACTCGGCCCATCACACGCCCTGTGCTTGGCTCGTCAGCGCCCTGCACTGGGTGTTGTCATTTACACCTGTGCAACGAGACTGGGAAATGCACCATCCTCCCTGGGCGGCGATTTACACGTACCGGGCTCTGGTGTAAATGGTGACGTATGGTGCCCGGGACAATCAGGCCCATGAGAATTGGACTATAACTTGAGGGCGCTGCCTGTGGCCGAGGTATTGGGCCTGTTCTGGGCTGCCCACGCTCTCTCCTGTCTGTCTCTCTGCTGCATTTCAAGGGAGCCCATTACCCTGGTATGTAGGTGCTGACTATGGCCCAATGAAAGCGGTGTAAGACTTGCCCCCAAAGTGACTCTGTTCTCAGATGTCTGTGGCTTGGCTGCTTGTATCTAGGGCTAGTGAGACTGTTTAAAGGCCGGGCACAGCACAGACCCTGTGAATTCATGACACCTGGTAATTTCACCCATCTCATTTCCAAGCACGAGCTGACTCCTAATACCTGGTCTGATCCTGCCACATTGTAAAACACAGGCCAGAGACCTGCCCCACAATAATGCCTAGAGCAGAGCTTTTAGAAAAACATCCAGTGTTGATTTTAAAATTGCCCGTGATGGAGAATCCACCACGACCCTGGGGAAGTTGTTCCAGTTACTCTCACTGGTAAAAATTTCTGCCTCATTTCCAGTCTGAATTTGTCTAGCTTCGGCTCCCAGCCATTGGATCATTTTATACCTTTGTCTGCTAGACTGGTGAGCCCATTGCTAAATATCTGTTCCTCATGTAGGTATTTACAGACTGGAATCAAGTCACCCCTTAATCTACTTTGTTCAGCTAAACAGATAAGGCATGTTCTCTAATTCTTTAATCCTTCCCGTGGCTCTGTTCTGACCCCTCTTCAAATTATCAGCATCCTTATTGAACCATGGACACCAGAACTGGGCACAGGATTCCACCAGCAGTCACACCACTGCCATACACAGAGGTAAAATAACCTCGCTGCTCCAACTTGAGATTCCCCTGCTTTTATATCCCAGGTCTGCATTAGCCCGTTTGGCCAAAACATTGCGCTGCGAAGTCATGTTCAGCTGGTTATCTACCCCCACCCCCAAATATTTTACAGAATCCCTGGTTCCTAGAATAGAGGCCCCTATACTGTAAGTCTGACCTGCATTCTGCATTCCTAGATGTCGGCATTTACATTTAGCCATACTGAGACACAAATTGTTTGCTTCACCCAGTTTACCAGGAAATCCAGATCACTCTCTATCACTGACCTGCCCTTGTAGCCCTCAGGATTAATCTGCTTGCCTGCATAGATCTATCTTTTCTTATGTAAGCAGAGTCAGGATGAGCTCTACCCTGACATCTGGTGGTGAATTGTGGTGAATTGTGGAAAAGAACTTCATGGGCTGAGCTTGTTTGCATAGGCACACCCACTTGGTCACTTTGGCTGGTGTGGGACCCCCAGTTTCTCTGTTATTGCAGCAGGAAGAATAAAGTGTTGTTACCCTGATTCTGTGACTCAAGGACAGTGGAACTGTTGTATGACAGAGGGACTCACTATTAACTAAGTAGCACTCGCTAGACAAGGGGCATGGGTTACAAAATCCAGTGAATTGAGAGATACTGGGGAGGAAGAGATACTGGACAGAATAGGTCCTTTTAAGGCTCTGAAACTGGCTGTGATATTTTCTCTTTCTCCTGTTAAACAGCAGTGCTAATTTTGATTCTATTAAAAGTCTAATTATGGGCTATTATTCTGAATTCACTTTGGGCTAATAAGTGCACTAGCACTGGGGCTTGTACTACAAGCTGAGATCACTGAGTGCTGTGTTAACTAGTGGGGGAGCCTGAAGGGTTACTGGTAAGCAGCTAGTAGAGCTGAGCTATTTGTGGGATAGTTGTTGTGGCCTGCGGAACGGTGAGTGGAGCAGTTTGTGAGAGGGTTGGTGTGCCCCATGGGATGGCTGTAGGACTGGAGTGGCTTGTGGTGAAGGCTGCAGCAGAACCTCATGGAGAGGTGGGGCAGTTGGCCTCGGACCATGTAAGGTACCCCTTAATACCCTGTGTGCCCCTTTCTCCCCCCCATTTCCACCCAGGCTGGGGGGGGGGTAAGAGTTTGCAGATAAACTTTTGAAATCTGGGGCTGTACTGACCAGGGACAGAGAGTTTTGGGTCATTGGACTTTTGGGTAATTTTTGGGTTGCTGGACTCAAGAGACTTTTGGGGTGTTGGACTTTTGGGACTTTGGGGTGGGTCTTTTGCTCATGGTTTGTGTTATGAATCCTGTTTGTGGTGCTTTCCCAATTTAAGGCTGATGTCGTTTACCTCATGTTATTAATCATTTTCTGCTACACTCAGACTCCGTGCTTGTGAGAGGGGAAGTATTGCCTCTTAGAGGCGCCCAGGGGGGTGGTATGTAATTGTCCCAGGTCACTGGGTGGGGGCTCGAGCCGGTTTTGCATTGCGTTATTGAAACAGAACCCGTAGATACTGAACCCGGCCCTTGTTGCTGCCAGCTCAGATGGACAGAAGGGTTACAAAACCCTGCATGTTAAGCTAAAGGAAAGTTAGCATAGCTATATCCTGTGCCCTTTTACCCAGAAAAGCAAAAATGACCTTTTTAACTTGTTTTTCCTATACCAAAATGAAGTGTCTACGCATAGGTCTAAGACCTTTTCCTAGACCAATAGACAATGAAGGATGGCAGAGGGGATTTTTCAAAGTTGTACCCACAGACTTAATAAGTACACCACAAGTGCACAGGTATCTGTCACCCATACGCACATATATATTACCCTATAGGGGTAAGTGTACCCTAACATTTCTGTGGGGGAAGAGTGAAATTTGGGCATAAGAGGAAGGATTTCCAGCATTTATTCCTATAAAAAGAGGTAACCTACCTCACTGTGGTACCTTCTCCTCCTTCTTCTTCACTTTACTCACTTCTTTCTACTCTCCAATACTCTTCTCTTCACTACACTTCACTATCTTCATCTTCAATTACATATTGGTGCTATCTATCTACGATGGCTATTAACCAGTAATAGGCTGTACTTATTTTCTTTTCAAACTTTAAGTTCAAAAGGGACTCCGCTAAGCTTGGTCTCTCCAAA